GAAGACTGAACCCACGTCTGCACCCCAAGATGATACTTTAACCTTTGGGGAACTGGTTATCGTGGTCTTTTAGGGTCACTGTGTAAAGAGGAGAGTGAATCATGGGGGCAGATGCAGAGCACAGAAGAGGGAGCTTGGCTATAGCATGGGGAGGATTTGGGCTGGGGCTCTCCAAAGCCAGGTGCTCACTTTGTAAATGTGTCTACCAGGAGAGCTTTGTTGGACAAAATTCATAGAGTTTTGAAAGCAAGGGCTAGAACTTCATGGGTGATGGAGAGTTTGCCAGGTTTCTTTATTCGAGCACATGGGTAGTCGTGTGACTCAAGTCAGCGTGACAGTGAGTTATGTGATTCTGGGGTAGGGAAAAACACTCTTAGAGCACTGCTTGTGTTCAGTGTTTATGGGTGGGTTTTCAGTGTTCAGCATCTGAAGAGCTTTTTTCAGTGTAAAGCTTTGTCTTTGGTGGTTGATTGTACGCTATGTTATTACTATACTTGTTTCCTAGACCCTTCACCAGCTTTGTATTTTTTTTCTTTGGACACAGAGGTCTTCAACTCATTGTAGTCACCTTAGAAGCTGAAAGCAGCTGTAAAGAAATATTCTCCTTCAGATTAACACCTGATTTTGAGATAGTTGTGAAGAAATGTGGGATAGTAAAAGGGTAGGATTGTGGTTTATCTTTGGTCTGCAGCATAAGCTTTGTCTGTTATAAAAGTGAGAACCTTTATAACTTTGCATGTATGTATTCGTAGTTTATTAGAGACTAAACTTTGTTTTCTGAGACAGTGTTTACTGAGATAAACAGCACTATCCTGACTTATACAGCTAACAAGGTTGATTTCAAGCTTCTAGCAACTCTCTGTTCTGCCTTAACTGCAGCTTGGCAAGGCTCTTCTGGAGGCCAGACAACTTTCCAGGCTCGAGGTTCCAATAAATGACTTTTCAGCTGGACTGACCTAAACTCTGCCTGAGGAGACCTCGATGGAGCGTGGCACAAAACTCGAGTTCTTGCAGCTCAGTGCTGGGTTTGCCCCTCTAGGCCTGCAGCAGCTTTCAGCAAGGCTTCCTGAATAGCTCAGGAGGATTTTGGTTATCCCACCAATGTTGCTGTTGTTTTATCAACTATTATGTGTTTTGCAAGGGATTTACTTTGTCTGGTTTCTGTCATCATCTGGCTACTACAGAAAAGTCTCCAAATTCTGATGGTGCTGTAATATCCTAAACAAAGGACCAGGAATGTGAAAATGTGCTTTTTGCTGGGTGTGTGGCTATTTCTAGACAAGACACAGGCAGGCTCAAATGTCAGTGTATTTTTCAGTCTTTCCCATTATTTATTCGTTGATATTTGTAGGTTCCCAGGGGGACCTATGCTGTAGGCTCCTGTAACAGGTGACTCCAGGAAGAGCCTGTGCAGCTGAAGGCTCTCTTTGTTTAGAAGCAGTGAAGATGGGTGTTAGGCGGTTGTGCTTATCAGGAGGCTTGCCTTCTGCCACATCCTGGTGCCAGCAGAGGAGAACTGGTTGTGTAAGTTTTAGAGAAGTGAAGGGGTCACCTGTGCCAGCAGCATTGGGATGCTTTGTTTGGGTAGTACAGCTGTGCTGGCCAGTAATGCTCACTGTTTTATCCAAGAGGCAGTGCTGTTAAACAGGACGCTTTTCTCCTCTGCCATGGGGAAATCATGTAGTCGGTTGTTGATGGGGCTGATTGGCTTTGAGATATTTGGTCTGTTTTATTAGCAAGCTGTCGTCTTACTGGAAATGAAGACCTGAACAGGCAAGTCCCACAAAGCCTGCTATAACCACATTTCCCCAAAAGATGTCCAATTTATTTATTTATTTTTTTAACTTAGTGCCGTTGATTTAAATTTGAGCCCAAATCGGGTCAAACCCCTCAGTACTCTCTGAGAAAGTTCTGCAGTGACATTGCAGGCTGTCATGGTTGGATGACTGAAAGCTGCCAACAGAGGTGAAACTTGAGTTGACCACAGAATGGTTGAGGCTGGAAGGCACCTCTGGTTGTCTGGTCCAGCTCACACCTGCTCAGCTTCAGCACACGGCCACATCCAGCTGTGCCCTTAGCACCTCCAAAGAGACACTACTGCGTCCCAGAGAGGTTGATCACCCCCATGGCAGGTGGCGTGTGTGTATTTATAGGTTTAAAGGGAATTTGTTTGGCTTCAGGTGGTGCCCATTGCCTCTTGTTCCTTTGAAAGAATGTTGTCTCCCTTCTTGGGGAGCTTTGGTCCTGCTGGATGTGCAAGAAAAGTGTGTTAGACCTCACCGTGTTCATGCTGCAGCTTGAGAAGACGATTTTGAATCTAAGAGTTCGTCACTGTGGACTCAACTACAACTCATGGATTTGAGTTGAGTTTGAAATTGAGAAAACTGCGTAAAAAGCAAAAGGAAGGCAGGATAGGTATTTTTGGTGGTTTATAGAGATATTCTGCTCTTTGGCACTTTTTGATATTTTTTTTGAAAGCTTTGACCAGCTTCTATTACTACACTTGTTGCTGCCACTTTCAGTATCAGGTCTATTCTTGAGTAAAGCTTTTAAATTTTAGAAATTAATTTTGAATTATTTTTTTAAAGCTTTTAAAAAGCTTTCAAGTGCAGTGTTTGAAATAGAAGTACATTCCATGGACTGATACAACTCCTCATTGTTCTAAGGAGCTGTGACTTCTTAAAACATTTTCTGTCACTACTGAGCGGTGTTTTGCTTGGGAAAATAGAGTAATTCCAAGAGCTTTCAGCAGTTTGTCTTTCAGTAACTGGACTCTTTTGGCAGTAGAAAGATTTCCTGCCCATTGTGCTGCTGTCTGAACCACCTGAACAATTCACCTAATGCTACTTGCTAATGTTGAAAAGCAAAACTGATAAATCTTCCTCATGAAGACTAAGCAGTAAAGAGATTTGTAACTTGTTCCTGTTTCTGTGTCATCGCCTGAAAAATACATGGGATGAAACCATCTTGACGTTCTTCATGTCATCCCTCCTACTTACCAGGCAGGGGAATAGAATTTAGATCTGACTTGTCTACATATGAGAAAGAGGATGGCATTAAATATCATTGACAAATACAAGAGGAAATTCAACATGTAAATTCCAGGAATAAAAAACTGCTATTTGTGTTTACTGCAATTTTGCTTTGGAACTCCTGGATGATGACTGGGAGGTTCTCAAGATCCAACTTTAGCTGTTGGCACAACCGTGTCCATGTTTTACAGTCTGGGGAGGTGACCAAAATGAATGTGCTGTGTATTTCAAGAGCAAATATAGAAAACTCCCCCAAGGAAATAAAGAGGCTTTCAAAAGAATTAGTTCATATTGACATAGTGTGTCTATGATTTCCTTCTTCAGACTCTCCTGGGGAAAAAGGACCATGTGTTTGGCAGGTCGAGTTGCAGACAGTGATGTTGTATGCAGTTACAATGCCTGACTTTGTGTTCTGATCCGTACATATTTAAGTTTGCAAACTGGTCCTGTATTGTGTATTTTGAGATATAATACCTGCTGATGTGCTTCAAAATAGAGTTTGTCCCAAGACAAATACATAACACGGCTATTTCTTACATTTTTATGTATCTTGGTTTCCCCAGTGGCCGAATTGAGTTGGTTGGAAGGTGACGTTATTTCCAAACTGCAGGTGATGAATAGCTATTGTCTTTATGATCCATGATTTATTTGCAGCTGTCTCCTTTGTTAGTTGGTGTGTTCAGAACAGTTTGCCAGACAGATCATCCTAGCTTCTCGTGGATTTGGGATACAATCCTGTAGTTTTGATTTTTACCAGGCTGGTTTTCTGACTTCATCTGTAGGCAGCAGAGGGATAAAGGCTGCGTTTCAAAACATGCAGCAGCACTCTTGATTAAAAGCTGCCCATGGATAAGAACTGTGCATTAATTTAATGGATTTAATAGAGCTGGAAGTTCAATGCCGGGGTGGGGATGGGACACATGACATGACTTTTGCCAATTTGATTCCTTAATTGTGAAGTAATTCTTGTATATTATCATGCATTGATAAAATAAGGGCTAATCTGGGTTTCAAAAAAAAAAAAAAGACAAAAAAAAAATCCTCTACAGCTGTTCAAGATTTATCTTTTCAACACTCCTGTGGTCTTGTCTTTGCATGTGTATGTTGTGATCTGCGGATTAAATGGAGGTTTTGGTGAGCGTAGTGTTATGTCTTGTAGCACCTGATTGTCCTCGCTGGATTTGTGAGAGGGAAAATTATTTGATTACTGCAGGTTTGTGGAAAGTCCTGGCATAAACAGAATTTCTTGATGAACAAATGAGCTCGTATTGCCAAACAAGCCTTCAGTTGCCAGTAAGCAACTCCAGTGGATCTTGTGCAACAGATGGACAAGTACATAAATATAATGCTAGGCTCCTTTGAGTAAACTTAATTATGTCAAAATTAGAGCTTGCTTGCTTATTCATCTTTCGTACAAAACCAGATGATTCTGAAGGAGGGTGTCTCTTAAATATCTGTGCATATTAAGTTGTTTGGTGCTGTCAGTCGTGCTCATTCTGGTTTGTTTGTATTAAATTTCTCGGCTCAAACTTGCAAAAGTATTGAATCTTTTTCTTTTGTAGGCATAACAGGAGATATAAGCATGAAAATTAAGAAAGCATTGCCATACCTGCACAATTTGAAACCTTCTGTTTGACCCTCAAATATGCATTGAAAAACAAATGCCTTCCCTGTGGGCAGTGGTTCGTGGTTGTGAAGTCTTAGGCTGGGACTTGAATTTTGGACAGCTCCCCCCCAGCCCCTTTTACCACATGTGCACACAAAAAAAAAACAACCTACCGCCACCAAAATATGCCATATTCCTGGTTTTCCTTGAATAAGTGACGCTTCTATTTTTCCTTTCTAAAATGTCTGGGGACACTACAACTCTCAAACAAGCATTTGTTGTTAGGTCTGCCTTTTTGTTCATGCATAGCTTTAAAGTTTCATTTCTGAGTTGCACTCACTGTTGTTTTTTTTTTCCTTCAGTGGACTATATTGTGGAGTATGACTATGATGCAGTGCATGACGATGAGTTAACAATTCAAGTTGGGGAAATAATCAGGAATGTGAAAAAACTGGAAGAAGAAGGATGGCTAGAAGGGGAGCTAAATGGCAAGAGGGGCATGTTCCCTGACAACTTTGTGAAGGTGAGTTTTCTCCGTTGACTTGTTTCTGCTGTGGTCATACAGCAGCCTACTTATTACCGAAATGTTAAGAGTTACATACCAGTTATATTTATAATGAGATGAATTTTTAATTGGAAGACTTTTCAACTGATAAAAATTTTTTGGAATGTTTTTAAAACTTTTTTTTTCTTCTTGGTAACTTCTGCTTTTTTTGTTCTTGCTCACTTCAGCATTGGTCTGTGCCCTTGCACTGTGTATCTTGTCTCCTTGCTACTGCTCAGTGCATTAGCAGTTGCCTGCAGTGCTGGTGACCTGCTTTAGTGATACAGATTGACTTTAAAATCAAAATTACCCCTACGGAAGACATCAGGTCAAGAGAGACTTGGGAAATTAGGGTCATGGCCCAGTCAGCTCAGCTGTAATGAAAAACTGCATCCTCAGGCTGTGGTTATGTGGATGCTTCAGCCTGGATTACAAGCAGTTCTGTTTGAAGGAGGCTCCTGCACTTGCTACCCTGAACTCCATCCTTCTGGTACTGCCTTTTTGTGGCTGTGCAAAGGGCGAGAACAAGGATGGGTCCTGCTAAAGGGTAACTGTAAAACTGTGAAATCATACAACTTTTTGCATTTCCTGTGTTTGTGCCCTAGTTTTCACTGATCTTGTTTGCAGACGTGTTTTCTGTTTTCTCTGGAAGTTTTCTAAACCTGTTACTGAGTATGCAGCTATCTATTAATCAGTTACATTGAAGAAACCTGCAGAGAATTGAGGTGTGCTGTTCCATTAGTCACGTCTGAAACTTAGCATCTGGCAGCTTTATCATCTCAACTACTCACCTGTTACTGAGGTGTTATATACTTAGCTTCCTTATGCTTTCTTCTCCCTTTGAATAACTTTCAAAGATTCCGAGGTGTAACTTCAATACCATAAAATATAATCAAAGAGAATTTAGGTATTCCTGTCTTTCTGAAGTGAAATTATTATTTGCAAAACAGGAATTCTCTAATATATCTTATTAACCGTAATATTTTCATGTTGTTAAACCATAAGAGGGAATTTGTCCAGTGTTATAGACACTTTACACTTGCTTATGTTAAATTTGACAATACTTCTGTTTGACTTTATGAAAAAGTGAAGTCATTCCTTTTTATATATTGCTGAATGATTTAGATATCTATCTTTTAGTACCGGTGGAAATAACCCAGTTGCTTCTTAGTGAAGGCCTGCTACCAAGGAAAAGTTTGTAAGATTGCCTTGCACTTGTCTAATATATTTAACTGGTCTGTAGTTCAGTGCAAAAAATCCATTTCAGGTTTAGGGCCCTTTATTAATAGTAACTTAAGGTAAAATTAAGCATCGTTTTGATGATTATTGTACTGATTTGTCTAGCACTTCAGTGCCACGTAGCAAGAAGGTGTCAGACACAGTGGTTCTCCAGATCATGGGTCACCAAAATCATCTTTTCACTGAACAGTACAGAGGGGTCAGAACTGGCCTGTTGGTACATTAAAAACTATTTTTTTTTGATATTGTTTTGCCTGTCTGCAGCCACAGAACTGTTTACCAACTTTGATTTAAATTGCTTTCATCTTTTTGCATCTCAGCTCCAATTGTGATTGTACAGCTGTTCACCATATGTATGGTGTAGTTGGATAGCCTGGGTTACAGGACCTATTTCCTGGAAAGCAGAAGAATTTGGAGAACTGAAAAGGAAACTGTAGAAGAAAACCCTCTTTGGTTTAATATTTGGTGAATGACAACGGGGACAAGTTGATTGAGGAGTTCAGTTATGAGGTTGATTTCATGATTAAATTTTTTTGTAAAGACTTTATGCACAGGCTGAAAAACCTGTCTTGCATTGATTAGATGATGGGAAAGCATAAAAATAAGTATTAAGTCATGCTTTTTTTTTTTTTTTCATTTCCCTTTTGATTATAGTTCCTTCTTAAAAATGTAATCTTAATGTACAGGTAGTGGTAGTTTGAGAGATAACTTTGTTGGTGCAGAAAGGCTTTTTTTTTCTCCATCCTCTCTTCACCTCAGCTTCCCCAGACTGCGTTTGCTGCTGCTGTAGGCTGCTGACATTGCAATACCTGTGAAATGCTGTTGTGAACAGACCACTACAAACATCAGACCTAAAAACTAGACTTGAATGATCCAGCTTGACAGCTTGGGCAGGTGTGACACATTAAGGGGTTGATGAACTGCAGGAGGGAGGTGGAAATGAGCTGAAGCAGCACTGTACTTTGGCCTCACGAACAAGGAAGGTCCTTTGAGAAATGAGTTTGCTCATTTGCCACCTCACCCATCAGCTGTTCAAACTCTAAACGAGGTGGTGGTTTGTGTGTCTTCTGGGCTTCCTATGGAAAGGGGTGTGTTACTGCTCCGAGCAGGAACACCCTGCAGCTCCTGCAAGAGCCAGACCCTCTTGGCAGTGGAGAGGTGTAAGAAGTTGGTGTGGGGTAATGACAAGAGGGATGCTGGAGGGGGCCAAATGTTGCTCATGAACTCATTGCCCGTGTGAAAGGGAGAGGAGAGTGAAGCTGTGAGTGATGCAGTGAGCAGGAAACAGCAAGAAGGAAGCCAGGCTAGGAGGATTGGGGGACCTGGGATGCACCTGGTACAGGTGCCCAAGTGTCTTTCATTCTGTGTGGGGAAGAGAGAGCATGGGGTGGATCAATCACATCAGGTCAGTGGAAAGCACAACTGGAGGGAACAGATCAGTGTGGACAGGACTAAGATTTACATCAAGTTTTGCACATTTTAATGTGAGATTCTGGGGCTCTGAATTTGAATTTTTATTCATTTTGGAAAGGATCTCTGTATTCTCCTGCCATTCATTAGGTAGGGATTTAACCTGAACTCATCATATGCCTAATTTATTGTGCTTTTGTGTAATAGCTATGCCTCTCTATTCTCATTTGATAAGAACTTAATTGAAGCCAGTGTATAACCTCTCCATGTAGAATTTGGGTGTTAATCTCTGCTCACATGAATAAGACTAGCATTTGAAGTTGAAAGTGCGTGTGTTATCAACTAGATCTGCCTGGCCTTGTCCCATATAAAATATTTTAAAGCATAATAAATAAATACATGACAGTTTAAATTATGCAAAAGTGGATGCACAATCTTTGATTTCAAATCCTAGATGTTTTTTGGGAAGGTAAGTTAGCTCTTTAAAAGAAGCCTTGGATTTTTGTCAGACAGCTGCAAGAGTGTTGAGGGGGGAAAGCGGTAACTCCAGCTCATTTGTTTTTTGCTAGTTTTGCTTTTTTCTTCTTAATTGTGTCTGACTGCCCAAGAGCTTGTTGCCAGGTGGCAGCTGCGAAGTGTCCTTGGCTGCCAGGCAGCATGCAACTGCCTCTAGCCTGTTTGAAGGACAACCCAAATGTCAGTAGGAGGAGTAGGGCTGCGTACCTTCTTCATGTGTTGGGTGCCCCAGATCCAGACTGTATCAGCACAGCTCAGGTGGATCCCAGTCCCGTTTTGCTCCCTGCTGTTGAGCATTGCCAATATACAGGACTTAGTGACATTTATGCCACCCCTCAGGCTTTGACTTGTGGGTTGGACAAACGCATCTTCTTTGAGAGCATGACTAAGTGCTGTCAGCTTCATTTTGAGTTATGATAGTCTTGCAGGAAAACAGCTTTTTCACTTGAGAGAAAACGAAGGCATAATCTTTTAAATGTTGCCAAGTACTGATTTTGCTTGCTTGCTTGTTTTGCTTGTTTTTTTGTTTTGGCTTCTACACTTTTTTTTTTTTTTTTACATGTTTATGTTGCATCCACAGAAGAACTGGAGGTTGGTGGTGCCTGGCTCCTGGTACCAGCTGAGCCAGGGCATTTGTTGCAGGTCCACTGCTCAACAGGTCAAACTGCAGTCTGAGGCACTGTGCCAAACGCTGCAGTTCTTCGTGCTGACTGAAAGCCAAGGGATTTTGTGTTAAGAGAAAGAGAAGAGGTAGGGCATCTGGCTCTCTTCAATGGAGCCTGTAAAGCCTGCACGGTGTCCTCGGGTGACAGTGTTGGCAAGAGTTTGAACGGAAAGTGGAAGGTAACAGTAAAGACTGGGAGGGAAGTCGGGGGTGGTTGGGTTTGTCCAAAGCAGTCCTGAAATGAGAACTCAGAGCTGGTGGAGGAGCTTGCAGTGAGTGGATAGTTGCAAACAAATGTCTATAAAAGGTATAAACAATTATATTGCTTGCTTGTGAAGCTAATTTCCTTGAATTCATTTTTTAGTAAAAGGTTTTCGGAAAAATGTTCTTTCTGTATTGCGGTGTTGGATTTTAGAGTGCTTTGAGAATGAACTTTGTTTTTCCTGCTTGCCTGATAACAAAATACACATTTTCAGTTTTGTTTCTTCCTCATGGTTTATACATGCTTTGTTAAAATAAACTGCCTTTTTCTCTTGATGTTGTGTAGGCACGTGGGTTTCCAATTTAATCAACAAATCCTGATTTAAAATTCCAGCTTGGATTGTGTGCATATACTCCTTTAGTGAGGTTATAATATTTGAATTGGAGGTCTTGTTCCTGACATCATTTCTCTTCCTTCTTCCTACAAGGACAATTTAAAATAAACAAGTTTGTAAATTCCTGAAAGGAGTTAGCAGTGGAAATCTAGCAGCCTTCTGTTGTTTTCCTTGACAGTGGCTTATCCTTCCTAAAATTTATCAGTGTGAAATGTGCACACAGCCATTCATAACCAGTATGGGCTAGAGCAGTGTGTAATGCTGCTAAATTGAGTAACTGCACCTGTGTGCTTTGAGATATTAACATTTGTAGTGTGTGGTGTGCTTTGTGTGCTATTTTTTATTAGTTCTATTCACTTTCCAACTAACTATCGTGACAGCTGAAAGTGATGATTTATATTCATTCTACTTGTTTTAGAATTTTTTTTCTGTACATACCTAAAGGGTATTTAGTGTCTTAAAGATTGCTTAGTTATTGCTATTATTTCAATTATTGCTATCTTAGCTCTGTAATGTGCTAGGCTGTGAGCCTGCTTTTCATGGTAGTAAAACTA